GAGCGGCCACTGCACTCCAGTCTGGGCGACAGAGTAAGACTCCAACTCAAAAAAAAATTTAAATTTATTTTTTATTTTTGAAAAAGTAGCACTTATTGAGAGGATAGAAAAGCACCCGGAGTGAGAGGGGAGCTGAGAGGGTTGCCCCAAAATAATTAAATTAAAAAAAATAGATACAGGGTTTCCCTATGTTGCTTAGACTGGTCTTGAAATCCTGAAGTCAAGTGATCCTTCCATCTTGGCCTCCCAAAGTGTTGAGATGAGAGGCATGAGCCACCATGCCTGCCCCCTTCTTAATGTTTTACTGATATTTTTGCCACAGCTCCAGGCCCCTGACATCTCCCTCACTCATATCTCTCAGCCATGCTGCCCTCTTGGCTAGTCCTCCAACAAATAAACCTTTCCCCACCCCAGGACCTTTGCACCTGCTCTTACCTCTTCCTGGTGCTTTGTTTCCCAACACCTTTTCATCACTCATGTGTTCCCTGCTCCTGTGTCCTCCCAGCTGTCCCCAGTCATCTGACCTAAAGTCACTTTCCTGTGAGTGTTACTGTCTTCCTCGCAGGTGTTCTTGTCTAAGATGATTTTATTCATTTGTGTCCCTGCTTATTGTGAAGTCCTGCCACTAAAACAGTAGCCTTGTTTTTAAGTTAGGGTCTCACTCTGTCACCCAGGATGGAGTGAGGTGGCACAGTCATGGCTTACCACAGCCTCAAACTCCTGAACTTAAGCAATCCTCCCTCCTCAGACTCCCTAGTAGCTGGGACTATAGGTGTGCACCACCATGCCTGGCTAATTTTTAAATTATTTTTGAGACAGGGTCTCACTCGTGCCCAGGCTGGAGTGCAGTGGCACAATCTCATACTCACCACAGCCTTGAACTCCTGAACTCAGGGGATTCTTCTGCCTCAGCCTCTCAAGTAGCTACAGTCTCATGCCACCATGCCCAGCTAACTTTTTTATTTTTAGGAGGGACAATGTCTCATTATGTTGCCTAGGCTGGTCTCGAACTCCTGGGTTTAGGCAATCCTCCCACCTCAGCTTCCCAAAGTGCTGGGATTCAGGTATAAGCCACTGCGCCTGGCCTAAAACAGTAACTTTATTTTTTTGAGTTGGAATTTCACTCTGTCGCCCAGGCTGGAGCACAGTGGCACACTCACGGCCACCACAGCCTCGACCTGTTGGGTGATCCTTCCACCTCAGCCTTCCAAGTAGCTGGAACCACAGGCATGCGCCACTACGCCCCGCTAATTTTTTGACTTATTGTAGAGACAGGTCTCACCAAGTTGCCCAGGTTGATTTCAAACCCCTGGGCTCAGGCAATCCTTTCTCCTCAGCCTCCCAAAGTGCTGAGATGACAGGCTTGAGCCACCACGCCCGGCATCTTTTAATGCTTTTTATGTGACCTGGAGTCAGATACAGATTTCACATGTGACACGGTGATGCAGATGTTATGGCTGGATAACAAATTATCTCCAAATTTACTGGCTGTAAACAGCAGTGTGTGTCTTGTTCATAAATGTGCAGTTTGAGCAGAGCTTGGTGAGGATGGCTCATCTCTTCTGGGAAATCTCAAAGGCCAAGGGCTGGAGTCATTGGAGGGCTCACTCACTCACTTACTTTCTAGCTTTGGCTAGGCCAGGAGCTTATCTGGGAGACTCTTCATGTGATCTGGGCTTCCTCACAACATGGCAGCTGGGTCCACAGGAGAGTGTTCTGGCCAGGCATGATGGTTCACACTTTGGGAGGGAGAGGGCAGAGGACTGCCTGAGCCCAGGGGTTCGAGACCAGCCTGGGCAACTTGGAGAGACCTCATCTCTACAATAAATCAAAAAATCAACTGGGTGTGGTAGCACACGCCTACAGTTCCAGCTACTTGGAAACCTGAGGTGGAAGGATTGCCTGAACCCAGCAGGTTGGTGCTGGGATGGCCGTAAGCATGTCACTGCACTCCAGCCTGGGGGATAGAGTGAGACTCTGACTCAAAAAAAAAGAAAGAGCCAGTCTTGGTGGCTCAGCCTGTAATCCCGCGCCTTTGGGAGGCTGAGGTGAGTGGACTGCCTGAGCCC